CCTTGTCAGGTTCTCAGAGGTGGCTCCAGGCTAACTCCTGGGCTCATGAAAATGGGGGCTGATGGTGCCGGAAGAGGAGAAAGCGGGGTTCAGGAGTCAGCGCTCCCCCCAATCTGCTGTTTGATTGTTGTGTGTCACAGAGAGATGCCCCCCGCCACCCAGGCAGCATGCCCACCAGGTCCAGCCCGGGCGGCTCTCAGACTGAGCGCTCCGGAAAGGCCCCCCGTGCTGTGAGCAGGGTGGACGAGGGTAGGGTCACCCCCAGCACCGCTGACATCAGGACGTCAGGGCTGGGTCATCCTCCGTGGGGGCGTCCGGCGCTGTGGGGTGCCGAGGGGCTTCCTTGGGCCCCGCCTAGTTGGTGTCCCAGGTATGATGACCACAGATGTCTGCAGACATGGCCCAGTGTCCTCCGGGGCCAGGCCCAGATAGCCCTCATGGCAACGCGCCTCCCCGAGCTCTTAGTGACAACACGTGGGAACCGGGCATTCTGGCAGTGTGCTGCTGGCTTCAGGCCAGACCCCGAGTCGGGCCCCGTCTCACCCGCGGCCTGCAGGGACCCCGCACACGGGGCGCTCCCTCCTCTCCTGGGGGCTGCTTGGCAATTCCAAGGCATGTTGCCCCCGCTGGCCACACTGAGGCCACACTGACCCTTCAGCGACGGCCCCATGGCCCTGCAGAATCGTCTCCCTGGGATGCGGAGTGGCCTGAGACTGTCCTGGGATCGTCTGCCCCAGGCCTCGTCTCACCCGCAGCCTGCAGGGACCCCGCACACAGGGTGCTCCCTCCTCTCCTGGGGGCTGCTTGATAATTCCAAGGCACGTTGCCCCCACTGGCCACACTGACCCTTCAGCGATGGCCCCATGGCCCTGCAGAATCGCCTCCCCGGGGTGCGGAGCGGCCTGAGACTGTCCTGGGATCGTCTGCCCCAGGCCAAGGCTCTGTCGTGGCACCAGGGACTTCGGGAAAGGGGGACAGTCGCTGGTGGGCCAGGCCTCGTCGGGCGAGCCCCAGAAGGGAGCAGAGATGGTGTGAAGCTCGGAAGGGGTCCGATGCAGCGGAGACCCTCTGCTGTGGGCTTGGAGGACGGAGCAGGCCAGGCAGCGAGGCGCAGGGGTGGCTGTGAGGAGCTGACACTTGGCAGCGGGGCACTGGGACCCTGGCCCCCAGCTGCATGGAACCGAATTCTGGAGCCATCGAGTGAACTCGGGAGCCAGCTGCAAGCCGTGGAGGAGACATCTCGCCATTGGCCTGGGGAGACCCTGGGCGGCAAAGCCAGCTCGCTGGCCGGGCTGAGGCGGCTAAGCCTGCCACCACGTGTCGCGCCAACGCACAGGCCAGGGGGCACCGACCCGCGTCCCCTCACTGCCGGGCCGGAGTCCTTCCAGTGTCCCTCTGTGGGACGTCGGGCGGCCGGCTGTGAGCAGGACTGGCCGCTGGGCGTGCACACCGGGCGAGCGTGCTGCACGCGTGACAGCTGCTACTCCCCTCTGCAGCAGCCGACACGGCGGGGGGCACGTGAAAGCCAAGGGACCTTGTGATGACTGTTCCCTCATGCACCCAACCGGTCCCTGAGGTTCGGTGAACCGGGGCCTGAGCACGTGCATTTAACCCCCGGACACAGGCCCGGGGGACTCCGGCCCGCAGACAGCGGCCGCTTCCTGGCAGCCCCGCTGCGCTCCTCCCGGCTCCTCATCCAGGAAGACGGGGCTGGAGCAGCCAGTGTGTCCGCTGACTCACAGCCGGGAAGGTGGCCTTGCAGAGGGAGGGGAGCAGCTGGCAGTCCCTGGGGGCCCCGGAGCTCAGCTCAGCTTCCTGGCAGCAGAGCCGGAGGGGTGGGGAGGGGAGGGGCGGGCAGGCGAGTCCGCAGAGAGAACAGACACCGCCTGCATTTTGCTTTAAAACTTCCGGACCCGGCCGCTTCACAGCTCACCGAGCTTCTGCTCTTTCCTCCCAGCGCCCCGTGGCCTGACCCCCCACCCCTGCCTGCCATCGAATAGGAGAGAAAAATCCCCAAATGCCCCACAGGCCTCTAGCCCGATTTGACAGCAGGGTGGACACTGGGGGCGCAGGGCACGCGGGCTCATCCCCAGCTGTCCCTAGCCGAGGCCTGACCATTCCTGGGCACCCCGTGTGCAGAGGAGACAACACAGGGAACAACCTCGAAGCCGAACAGGAAGAGATGGAGGTTTGGAAAGGGAGCCGGCTCCGTGGCCCTGTGAGAACAAGTTGCCCATGTTTGCAGGCGCCTGTCCACACGTACCTCGGACGATGTGTTTCCCGCACGCGCACCGCGAGCAGCCGCCCTGGGCCCCGTACACCTCCAGGGGTACCCTGCACGGAAGCCCCAGGACCTCACCCTGGCAGTCCTGCCCCCAGGGGACACTGGGCAGTGTCTGGGCACGTCTGTGGTTGTCACACTGGGGGGGGGGCAGGGATGCCGCTCGGCACCCTGCAGTGCCCAGGACGGCCCCACAGAGAACGACCGCCGGCCAACGCCAGCAGTGGCCAAGGGGACCCTGCTCTGATCTCTGGAAACGTGCACACGGCGTGGACAGCACACGCTGGATGCTGGGGTGCTAGGGCCAGGGCGGGTATGTGCTTCCATGTGTCCCCGCCAGCGGGGATGGGCGCCCCCGGCCCCCAGCAAGGCCGCCCCAGAGAGGGGCCTGAGGGGGCCGCGCTGGCACTGGAGCCTCACTGGGCCTTCCCAGCCCTCCGTGTATCTGTGACCTTTTGGTGGGGCCGCGGGGGCCATGGGAGAAGGCACGCGCCCGCAGCAGAATGGCATCTCGTGACCGTCACCAGTCCCTTTGTGTGCAGGCTAAATCGGTCCCTCGGAGACTATATTTAGAAAGAGCCAGAGAACAGGATGAACGAGGCGCCCACAGGCCAGGGGGCAACGGAGCCGCGGTCCTGGCAGCTGGAGCGCGGAGCCCAGAACCAACGGCTGTGGGCGTGGGTGGACAATGAGCCTGCGGTGACACAGGGTGACGGAGCGTGACGGTGCAGCCGACGCGCGGGCAGAAGAACAGGCCCTCTCTGTCCACCCAGAGGGCGTGTGAGAGTGTGCAAGCCCGGGACCCGGGCTGCGCCCCACTGCGCTCCCGCGCTCAGCTTCCCGGCACGGAGGACGTGGCGTCACCCTGGCCCCCAGCGCGGCTCGGGAGCCAAAGGGCAGGAGGGCCGGGGACGGCAGGGGCAGATCCAGGCCTCCCCACACCGGCTCAGGCGGGTCCTCTTCCACCTGGGCCTGGACAGACTCCTGCACACTCTGCAAAGCCCGTGAAGCGCTGGCCCCCCTGAGAAGCCCCTAGCCTATTGTCCAGCACGGCCAGGCCACTAAGACCTCTCCTTGGACATTCCTTGGGCACTGTATGCCTTTCCCGCAGCTGCTGTCACAAGTTACTGCCAACTTGGTGGCTGAAAACCATACACATTTATTCTCTCTCAGTCCTGGCACGGGCCTCACGGGCCAAACCCAGGAGGGGCAGGGCCGGGCCATCCCGAGGCTCCGGGGAGGACCATTTCTGGCCGTTTCCAGCTTCTAGAGTCACCGCATCCCTAGCGAGTGGCCCCTTCCCCCTTGTCACAGGCGGCGGTGCAGCCTCGTTCATCTCTCTGTGACCCTCCTGCCTCCGCCTTATGAGGACCCGTGAGGACGCTGGGCCCCCGGAACTGAAGGTTATGACTTGGTCTCAGGGATTCGTGTGTGGTCATTTCTGGGGACATGGCCTGGATGCCGGGCACCAAAGCGCCACCTAGGTGGAGGGGCTGTTGGCAGCACTGCAGAGACGCTGGGCCCCTGGGAACCGAGGGTTGTCCCCTCTCAGGGGCCTAGACTTGGTCTCAGGGTTTCAGGGGCCATGGCCTGGACGCCGGGCACCAAAGGGCCACCTAGGTGGAGGGGCTGTTGGCAGCACTGCAGGTGCTCACTGAGGCTCCTTCCCAGAGTTCCCTGTCCCCAGGACCAATCTCTCTCTCAGGACAAGGGCCCCAGAACCAGACTGCCTGGGGCAGAGCACTTGGCCACACCTGGTGGCCTGCCCCGGGCACACATGCCCTCGAGGTCAAACCTGGCTCTGGGTCATCGGCCGCAGCTTCCTGCTTAGGCTCTGGGTCACTGGCTGACACCCCGGGTATTGGAGGTTCGACAGTGCGCCACGCAGTGGCCAGCGGCCCCTGAGCGTGCGTGGGGTCTGCAGGGATGCCCGCCCCACCTCCGATGCTGCTGGAAAGCCCTGGAATGAACGGGCCCACAGAGGCCACTCCCAAGGGCCAGCTGTAGGTGGGTCACGTTAAAAATGAAAAACCAAAGCAGCCAACAGTGGGATTAAATGAACTGTTTTAGAGTCTCACTCAGGGTGTTTCTGTCCCCACTAGGGGACACTGGGCAACGTCTGGGGACATCTGTGGCCATCACAAGTTGGGGTGCTCCTAGCATCGAGGGGGGGGCAGGGATACTGCCCAACCCCCCACAAGGCCCAGGATGCCCCCTGAGAGTGGCCCAGCCCCACTGTCAGCAGGGCTGAGGGGGACCCTGGTCTTAGGCATGTTCCAATCCAGGGGCCAGTTTCTGTGAAAAGTGTCCCTTGTTTTGGTCCCACCAGGTCCAAGGGAGAAGCCAGGTGGGCTGCAGCCCCCTGACGTGGCTCCCAGGCACCAGCTCCTGGCCCACGCCACGAATCGTCAGTGTCCGGGCAGGTCCCGACCCCTGAGGGGCCCCAGGTACGGGAAGGACGGTGCCAACCCACGTGTCTGGCTGGATGCTTGACCCCCAAACACAGCAATGTGGGGGATGGGGAGAGAGAAGCAAACGTTTGGGTCCAGGACGCGGGATTCGGCCAGGGCAGGCAGAGGGCTTCGCGAGGCCAGCACCAAGGTGCCGGGCTGCGTCCTCCTCTGGGGACACGGACGGGGAAGGATCCACACTGTGGTGCGAGGCATGGCACTTGGTGTCTGTCTCCTGTGGAACCTTTCAGGGAAAGACAGCCGCAGCTGCCCCGTGGAGGACACTGGTCACCGAGCCCCAGCGACCGGGGGGGGCAGGACCTGCAGTGCTTGGGGTCGTGGGTGGCGGCGCTGAGTTCGCAGAACCCCCTGTGACGTGAGCTCGTCTCAGCTGCCCAGTGGCCTCTGCCCAAAACAGGGTTTCAGTGACCTGGACGGAATTCCTAACAAAGACTGAGTGTCCGCTTATGCTCATGCCGACGTCCCCTTTCTCGTCCGTCCAAATTCCTCACGCCTGTTCTTGTTACTGCAGAGACGCCGCCAGGCCCCAGGCTGCCTGGAAATGCTCAGGTCTGCCCCGGGCCTTTCCTGGAAGGGGCCGGGTGCCGCCGCTCAGCCACTGTACGACTTCAGAAGGGCCGTTCGGGCTGAAGCGGGCACCCAGGAAGCGGGGAGGATGCACAGGACTCAGGAGGGTGGTTTCGTGCCAGCCGGCGGGGAAAGGGAGCACCTGTGCTTCGGCCCAGCTGGCGAGGGTCGGGGCGAGCCCTGGCAGGGACGGTGGCCTCCGGTGACAGGCGGCCAGCGCTCGGGGCACAGCACAGCCCTCCAGGAGAGAGACGAGGGCTGTGCTGACACCCGAGGGAGGCTGGAAGCTGGCGGTTCTTTCCCATTCGAGCCTCCAGGTAAGAAAGGAGCCTGGGTGACACCTGGGTGGTGGCCTGGTGAGACCCAGCTGCTGTCCCCGTCCTGGCTCTCCCAGGGAAAGTGACCACGGGCCTGGAGAGTTCTGAGGGCCCATTAGATGGCCAAGTGACCATGCAGCCTGGGAAGAGGGTGACGGTTGATTTTACAGGTCCACTTGCCCGGGCCACGGGGTGCCCCAATATGTGGTCAGACATTATTCTGGATGCTTCGGTGAGGGTGTTTCTGGATGAGACTATCGATTAAACCGGTGGATGATGAGAAAAGCAGACTGCCCTCCCTAACACGGGTGGGCCTCGCCCAATCAGTTGAAGGCGTGACCAGAACAGAGAACGGACTCCTGGAGCAAACGGGCTCCTCCGGCGACGGTTTCCAGACTCGAACTGCACCACGGGTTCTCCTCGGTCCCCAGCGGCAGCGTTTGGACCTGCTGGTCGCCACGATCGGTTCCTTAAAATAAATCTCTGTGTACAGACCGTCAGCTGCCTCGTTTCCCTGAAGGACCCTGAGCCATACAACCTGCTGGGGGCTTCGTGGTCAGAGAGTCGTGCTCGAAGCCTGGCCCTGCTGCCCACCGGCCACTGAGCCTTGACGAGTCTCTCTGCTGCTAAGCCTCAGTTTCCCCGCCTCCGAAATGGGGCTGAGGAAACCTGCTCCCTATCAGGATGGAATGAGACGGAGCGGCCAGGCCTGGCCCATGGCGGGCGCCCGATAAGCATCGCTGAGTCGGAGTGGCGTCCGCAGATGGGGGAGGCACGGAGGGAGGGACAGCGGGCAGCGGTGGCTCGGCTGGGCCACCTGGGAGCAGAACCGTGGGGCTTGGCGCCTACTCACAGCCTAACCTGACCGCAGCTGGCTTACGTCACAGCGAGGGCTCTACGCCGTCCCCACCCCCGCGGGCAGGTGCTGCCCCACAGGGACATAATCCCGCAGCACGCGGCCAGCAGCCCGAGCCCGCCCTCCTGACACCTGAGGCCGGTGGTGGTGGCCCTGCGGAGACCCTCACACACGTGTGTATGTGTCCATCCCAGGGGACCACACATCTGCTGTCGGAACTCAGGCCATCGAGCCCTGGTCTCCCCGTCAGGAAAATGGTGCGTATCTGTGTTTCACTGACGTCCAGCGTCAAAGGACAGAGACCGTGGCCCCTGGGTGCTCCTGGGGGCCGGCCACAGTTCAGGTCGCCATCGTCTTCACTGGCACATTGATTGTCGGGTGGGCTGGGGTGAGGCGCTCGCCCTGGGCGCCGAGAGCCCAGCCGTGGCGTTCACGAACTTCCATGCGGTGTTTTTATAAAAAGTTGAAATGAATGCAAACTACGCAGGACGAACCAAATACATCGAGTTTTTCTTTAGAGAAGCACCTGACAAGGTGGGCGAGGGCGAGGGAAGCGTCTCTTTATATAAAATTTTGACTTTCCCGCGGCGTTTTCTTTTGGACTAGGCTTTGAGTTTTAGGAAATTTTGCTACGTTAAGATACGACGTACGGCGATGACTGGGTTTTCCTGTTTTTCCCCCAAATCCTGAGCCCAGGCCGAGTGCTAGGCTCGCCTCACCCGATCCCAGGCTCTGCCTCCGACACCTGAAGGCTGCACAAAGCAGGGGCCCGGCACCCTTGGGGGGGACTGAGGCCCAAGAAGCACAAGCCGGAGGGAGGCAAGCCTCCAGGACTGTGACCGATGAGCCCGCCAGAGGCCAGGGGGTGTCAGCGCCTACAGTGCTTCTTAGAACCCCACCCCAACCCGCCTTCCCTGCATCTCACCAGCCAGCCCCCCAAGAGCCGGAGATAACCCCGAGTGGGAGCCGCTCTGAGCCCCCGCCGCGCTCCAACCTCCTTGTCTAGAAATGCGTCCTAGTGCCCTTTCCTTCCCGAACGGATCACGGAGCTCGTGGAAATCAAGTGACATGTTCTTAGAAGTGACAGGTCCCAGATGAAACCCCAGGGGAGAGCAGGGAACACCGAACGAAAACAAAACGTAACGTCCCAACGTAACGTGTGGGGACATGGTGAGGGCAGCGCACGGCGCGGGGCGGGGACGGGACTTGGGACGGTCTCCGATCGTCGCCTGACTCTGCACCCGAAGGGGCCAGAACGGGAAGAGGGAAGAGCGAGTGGAACCCCGAGCCAGCAGGAGGAAGGAAATGACAGAGACGTGGAGGAGAAAACGAAACGAGGACCAGAAAAACGAGAGGCGAACCAGCGGGACCAGAAGCTGGCTTTGGAAAGGCTGGCGCCAGGGGCGGCCGTGGGCCAAGGGAATGGAGAGAGGAGGGGAGGGGGACGCGGCGACCGAGGGGGAGGGGGCGGGACGTGACCTCCGGCCCTTTGGAAATGGGGGGGCTCAGAGGCGAGACCGAAGGGTGTGCCCGCAGGTTAAGTGATCTGCGTGCAAGGCTCAGGCTTCCTGGGAAGACACACGTGACCCAGCCTACTGCAGTTCCAGACGCCACACGCAGCTCGGCCACCTGGACACCGGCCCTGTGTGTTTCTGTCCGTGGCCTCCGTAATCTGTGACATTCCTGGGAAGCTAGGGGATGCCATTTCCGTGGCGGGGATGAAAGGCATCCGCCCACATGTGACAGCGGCTCAGGGGCGGACCCGAGATCTGAACTCAGGTTTCCTGGCCCTGAGCCCAGAGCTCTTTTCGCGGTGACACAATTCCCAGTGTGTCATGTGCGCGTGAGATACTGTGGCTTGTTTGTTCCTTTTTTCCGAAAAACAAGAGATTCCAAGCTCATGAAGCAAAGATAAAACGCTACGTACCTGGTTCAGTTTTTCCAAGAAGCTCCGCTCCGCCCTGTGTGAAAGAGAAAAAGCAAAGCGTGGGTAAATATTTTTCACTTAACCATCTCCGGCTTTCCTCAGAGAAACACTTTGTTGTCGCCAAAACTCTAGCACATGTCCTGCAGAGAGACCGGGCTCAGAGTCCACTTCATTCCTCACGATCCGTTCAGAACGACAGCCTGTTTCTGTGTGTGTATGTGTGTGTGTGTGTCTGTGTATGCACGTGTGTCTGTGTGTACGTGTACGTGTGTCTGTGTGTACGTGTACGTGTGTCTGTGTGTACGTGTACGTGTGTCTGTGTGTGCGTGTCTATACGTGTGTGCGTGTGTCTGCGCGTGCATGTGTCCGTGTGTGCATCTGTGCGTGCACACATGTCTGTACGTCTGTGCATGTGTCTGTGTGCACACATGTGCCTCTGTGCGTGTGTGCATGCATCTGTGTGTCTGTGCATGCACATGTGTGTCTGTACGCATGTGCATGTGTGTGCACGTGTGCCTATATGCATGTGCATGTCTGTGTGCATGTGTGCGTCCGTGCACGTGTCTGTGTGTCTGTATGTGTGTGCATGTGTGTCTGTGCACGTGTGCCTGTATGCATGTGCATATCTGTGTGCATGTGTGTGTGTGTGTGTGTCTGTGTATATATGCTTGTGCATATGTGTCTGTGTGTGTGTGTGCATGTGTGTGGGGGGAGGTCAAGTTTCCTCCTGGAACTTGTATTATTCCACGTCGACACAGGGGACCCCTAGCCATGGTCCAGCCCATCGGACGTGCCAGCACGAGGAAAACAGAGCAGCCGGGACCTGAGCCGTGAGCGTAACGTGTGGTGTTTTGCGTAACGTGTGGTGTTTTTCCACTTCTGGTTTTCACTGACTGAAGTCATGTGCCGGGGCCAAAATGGGACAGCTGGGAAGAGTGACCTCGGGGGCAAACCAATTAACCTCGGGCGGGAGAGGTGACAGGTATATGGATGCAGGAGGGGTCCGAGGTGGCCACCCAGGGCCAGGAGGTCAACAGGAAAGGAAGTCTCCGTGATGGGACCCGGGCGGTGGGGCGCTCGGGTGCTTCAGAGCCACTGTTTCCCCGGAAACAGGACCCCCTGCTCCAAGTGGAACCCTGGGCGACCCCAGACAGAGCCGCAACTCTCCCTGATACTTGACGCAAACAGCACGAGGGTCCTCGGGGGCCACCGTGTCCAGCTGCCAGACTGACCCCGAGACTAAATGCCAGCCTATACCCCACGCTCCACGCTCTAGCAGCTGCTCTAAGAATGCACTGCCTGGAGAAACACCCCCTTTCCTATATCCCGCTGGGGTGCAGAGGAAGAGGCAAGGTGACCCCGTCTGTCTCGCTGCGATGCCATCTACACAGCTAGTGCCGGCCCCATTGGTGGACGAGGGGGCTCCGGCCTCCATAGGCCCAGCTGTGAGTCTGCACGTGCAGCTGGGCCACACAGACGCCCCGGTCTGCACTCCCGGGGGACCCCTGCAGCTGCCACGGGTCACGCTTCAGAACAAGACAAGAGAGCACCCTCTCCCACCAGTGGGGGCAGTCCTGGGGTTCGCTCTGCTGGGGGCTTGCCCAGGGGGCATCAGCAAGCCCCTGCCCCAGGAAACAAGCAGGCCGGACTTCCTGGGCTGTGAGGCCCGCTGGTGTCGTGGGCTCTGAAGGTCCCAGTGGCCTCCGAGAGCTGGCCCCTCTTCCTCTGCAAACATTTACTCTTTCCACAAACCAGTGGGGGCGGTTTTCCACCCACACAAAGGGATGCACCACAGCTGCTGCTCTTGGGTCAGAGCTGAGGCCACTGAGCCCTTCCCAGTGGCTGTGGGCCGGAGGTGAGGTGGGGTGGGGTGGGGTGGCATCAGAGGCTGGGGGGCCTGAGGTCAGGCAGGAACCTCCCACCCCGAGGCCCACCAGGGGAGGCCCACCCTGAGCGTCACAGAGGCCCAGGGTCTCAGCCACAGGAAGAAGGTGACTGCAGATAGTTTTCTCTAAAGCAGTGTCCCCCTACCCCGTGGCACTGCTGACATTGGAGCCAGCTCGCTCTCTGTGGGGCCGTGCTGGGCTCTGTGGGGTGCCGAGCAGCCTCCCTGGCCCTAATCTCTTCGATGCCAGGGGCATCCCCAGTCGTGAGCACCACAGATGTTCCCAGACTTGGCCCAGTGTCCCTTGGGGGGCAGGACACCCCTATTTGACGGCTGGGGGAGACACACACAGAAACAGGGCACTGAGTAGGAAGAACTCGTGCGGCAGCCCCACGAGGCCGGGGGCCCCGGCCTGCTGGTCAACACTGGCGCGGCCACAGCCCAGCGTGGGGACAGAAGCACCGGCCAGGCCAGGACGCCGGGTGCTGGGGATCAGCCCTGAGCAGGATGCGCTGACTGGGCCGCGCACGCACCAGGCGGGGCTCATAGCCTGCCTCGGCACCCACAGAGTCTGCATCTATGAATCTGCCTAGTCTCTAAAACCCACTTCGACCCCCAAATCCACACTCAGGGGTTTTCAAAGTCATTCGTGGACACACGCAGAGCGGTGAGATCTGAGTCAGGCACGCTCCCAGGCGAGGTGGCCCCAGGTGCCGCGCCACCTCCTGCTTCAGCTCAGGCCGTAAACCAGGCTCTTTTCCCACATTTAGTGCCAGATTTTTTGCATTCTTGTTTTTTTCTGAAGGCCGAGGCGTGCCTTACGGAGAAGGTGCGCATGCCGGAGAAGCTCACAGCGCCATTGGCCTGAGTTCAAGGTCAGTGAAGCAAAATGTATATTAAATAAGGCGTCCGACGCAAGGTTGTGTGCCACTCACCGCCTGACGAAAACGTCGCGACCAGAGGTTTGCGGGAACCTAACTCTATATGCCCCCAGCCGGGGTCCATATTTGCTAATTCACTGCTTGTTGTAAATAGTGAGACTCAACCATCTGTCTATCTGTCTGTCTGTGTCTGTCCACCGACCTACCTACCTATTTTATTCTTTGTGACCATGAAACATAACCTCACCTTACGAAACCTGGAAATCACATACGACCACCCACAACCCCACCACCTTATTTTTCCCAGGCGCGTCCACGTACCCACCCATTTTTACACATTCAGGTCCCATTTCCTGTCTGATCACCTGCCTTAAAGATTTTTCTTGCTTAACATTACATCGCGAGGGAAATGTTATTTTCCCATGCCACCGCAAATTCTTCTAATGCTTGACTTAAAAAAAAAAATCACCTTCATGTTGAAATAATTTTAGATTGACAGAAAAGGGGTACAGATAGCACAGAGGGTTCCCACGAGCTCGTCACCCAGCTTTCCCCAAGGCTGACACCTCGAAAGATGACGACACGAACGTGGCGCATCGTACGCACCGAACTCCATCGTGTCTGGATCTCACTGGTTTTCCTCGGAAAGTGTTTTCTGCTCCGAGATCCCGTCTAGGACACTACGTTGCATTTGGTGACTTTTTATGCCTGTGTCTTATATTTCATGGACGTACCATAATTTACATTATCATTGCTATTAGAGGTATTTACTGCCCATTATTGGACATTTAGGCCACCCCTGGGCATGAAGCTACAGGGGGTGGACTCAGACACCTTTGATTTTTGCCCCGGCCCTTTACTGACACGTAACGCGCAGGGTGAAGAGATGGTTCGTGCATAGCTCCGGGCATTTTAAAAGTGTGTGCACCTGGGTCACCGTCACTTGCGTCTAGACACGGAACGTTTCCAGCGCCACGAAGGCATCCCAGAGTGAATCAATCCTCTGATGTTATTATAATTTTCACTATTATGGTTATCCTTTCGCTGCCGAGGACAGAACGGGGTGGGTAGGTACACGGTCTGCAGCTGACCTTACGCCATTCCTCCGAGGGCAAGAAACTGTCTCACAATAAACACCTGCTTCTTAGCAAAACAGACAGTGGGCATACGCGTGACGTACACAAGATGCACTCTGCAGTTTTGTGTGGCTAAGGAGGTAATTCTGAGAAATGAATGACTATTCAGCACTTGGACTATGGTAAAAAGTAATATCGAGTGTGTGCACAACGCTGCCGCGTGTACTTTTCTCGAACCTTCGCTGTTGCCAGCAGGTCCCCCCTCTCATCAGATGTGGAACCCTGGGGTGACGGGACAGCCGGGGCGCAAGCAGAGGGGTGCACCGGGGCACCCACGCCAGCGGCCTGGTCGGCGGCCCTTCTGAACTCATCAGCGTGTAGCAGAGGCGACAGGGTTGGCATGGGTACACCGAAGGAGCAAGTCACTGCTTTTGCGTCCACGGACGCGGCTGCTTCCTGCGAGCCCTAAACTCCGACGCGGATCAGTAGCTGAAGTAAAAAGTCTGAGAGACAGAAGAGAAGAAAAGAGGGTGCAGATTCTGACTGTAGGATGAGCCATACTGGTGACGAGAATCGCCTGGAAGGTTCCAGAAGCCAGGCAGCAGCAGTACCTGCTCGGAGGAGTTGAGACGTGTCCTTCTGGGCCGAGGCGCAGTGAGGGGATTTGGGGTGAGCCCTGGCTCCAGACTTCTGTCCGGACATCTTGAGCGCCGGCTCCCTGAACCCTGTCTGTAATACGGGGACCCCCCACCTCACTCTCAGGGTCTCTGGGAGGATGGAATGAGGCGAGCAGACTGCCCGGCACTTGGCAAGACAGTGGTCCACAGCAATGGCGATGAAGGCTGCAAGATGCACATGTAATATGCAGCCCACGAGAGTCGCCCGAACGGCCAGTGGCAGGTGGGCGGGGTCGCGTCCCAAGGCCTTTCGGTTCTGGGGCTGGGACTGCAGCCACGGGGGGGCCCCTGTCCCCGGCACCCGCGGTCAGTCCACTCTCCCGACTTTATCCTAATTTTATGGATGTCGGAGCTGCTGTGGGGGACATGGCTGGGCTGAGGTCACATGGGGTCGGGCTGGGGACGTCAGGCTTGCTCCATGTTTATTACGGGTCAGAAGTTTAATTTCCTCTCTTTTTTTGCAACCCTGCTGAGGAAGGGGCTGTGGCTGCTCTGCAGACCCGGTACCTCCGCAG